AAGGGTGGGTGTCAGGAGGATGGGGCCAGGCTTTTTTCAGTGGTGCCCAGGGACAGGACAAGAGGAAATGGGCACAAACATGAACATAAGAAGTTCCATCTCAACAAGAGGAGGAACTTCTTCCCTGTGAGGGTGGCAGAGCCCTGGCAGAGGCTGCCCAGGGAGGTGGTGGAGTCTCCTTCTCTGGAGACATTCCAACCCCACCTGGACACGTTCCTGTGGGACCTGCTCTGGGTGGAGGAGATGATCTCCAGAGCTCCCTTCCAACCCCAGCTCATCCTGTGATTCTGTGATCTCCAGAGATCCCTTCCAACCCCAGATCCTTCTGCGAAAATACTTTCCAAGTATTTTAGGTGGGAAACAGCGAAAACTCCAGTCAAAACCCACCCAACCTGTGCCGGGCGGGGAAACCGAGTCAGCTATTTGTTCTCCTTAACTTCTTTTCTTCCAGTGATTGACATCAAACTGGAAAAGCCTCAAGAGCAGCCTGTCAGTGAAGGAGGCTGTTCCTGCTAATACCAAGGGGCTTCTCCTTTTTCTCCGGAACATCACGGCTTTCCCTCCCCTTTTACTCTTCATTGACTGCGGTGTGAATATTGGCTTGAACCTTCCCCTTTCAGTAATAACGTATTTGCAGTTTCATCATCGCTGGCTGTCTCGTGGAGATGATCTATTAGCTTCACAAGCACACACACCCACCCACACAAACACAAAGAAAATGTCAGTGTCTTCATTATTTATAAAGAAAAAAAAACAAACAAAAAAAAAAGCCAAAACATTCCAGACTATTCTAGTTATAACTTTAAAAAAAGGTAAAAAAAAAAAAAAAAAAAAGCCAAAAAATTCCAGCATATTCTAGTTATAACTTTAAAAAAAGGTAAAAAAAAAAAAAAAAAAAAGCCAAAAAATTCCAGCATATTCTAGTTATAACTTTAAAAAAAGGTAAAAAAAAAAAAAAAAAAAAGCCAAAAAATTCCAGCATATTCTAGTTATAACTTTAAAAAAAGGTAAAAAAAAAAAAAAAAAAAAGCCAAAAAATTCCAGCATATTCTAGTTATAACTTTAAAAAAAGGTAAAAAAAAAAAAAAAAAAAAGCCAAAAAATTCCAGCATATTCTAGTTATAACTTTAAAAAAAGGTAAAAAAAAAAAAAAAAAAAAGCCAAAAAATTCCAGCATATTCTAGTTATAACTTTAAAAAAAGGTAAAAAAAAAAAAAAAAAAAAGCCAAAAAATTCCAGCATATTCTAGTTATAACTTTAAAAAAAGGTAAAAAAAAAAAAAAAAAAAAGCCAAAATATTCCAGCATATTCTAGTTATAACTTTAAAAAAAGGTAAAAAAAAAAAAAAAAAAAAAGGTTAAAAAAAAAAAAAAGGAAAAATTTTTTAAT